GGAAGTCCTGTGATGAAGTCGAGGCTAACGACCTGCCATGGCTGCTCTGGTACGGGTAGAGGCTGAAGTAAACCTGCTTTTTTCTGCTTGCTACTCTTCATCTGCTGGCACGTGTCGCAAGAGGTGACGAACTGCTGCACGTCTGCTGCCATCCCGGGCCAGTAGTAATACTTCGCTATCCCTGCTAACGTCTTGTTGCTCCCGAAATGTCCCGCGTAAGGTACGTCGTGAAACTCCTCCAATAGGATCTGCCGTAGCGGGGCGTAATTCGGTACCCAAATCTTTCCTGAACCCTTCCTTACAGCTAAGTCTTTCTCCCACTGTAATAGCTTCTTGGTCTGTGCTAGTAGCAATCTCTGCGTCCACGGAGTACCCATGTTGGAATAGACCCTTGAGCAGAGGGTTCATCCCTTCGAGCTGGATGCGTGCTACATGTCCGGGGCGGCTCAACGCGTCTGCCTTGTTGTGAATGGGGTAGTTTAGTTCTGCTCCGTGTAGCTTCTTACTGAGGTAGGCGATGGGCTGCAAACCGCGTCCGTGATCCTGCATCAGTACTGCTCCGACTGCTTGGTCACTAGCGTCTGTTTCCACCACGTAGTCCTTGTCTGGATCCGGCAAGATGAGTACTGGCGCTATAGTCAGTGCTGTCTGTAGCTGCTCCATGGCTTGCTGATGAAGGGTATCCCATTTGTAGGGCGTATCCTTTTTCAGTAGGTCGGGCAGTGGCGCTGCTATCTTAGCGTACTGCGGCACGAACCTCTTGTAGTAGTTGGCGAAGCCTAGGAATTGCTGTAATTCCTTCACGTTCTCTGGTACATTCCACTTCTTGACGGCTTTGATCTTCCGTGGGTCCACGTGTACGCCCTCGGCACTCACCATGTGCCCGAGAAACTGCACCTTCTTCAGGGCGAAGTCGCTCTTTGTCAGCTTCACGTAGAACTTGTTTTTCCGCAGGATCTCGAACACCTTCCGCAGGTGCTCCACGTGCTCCTTCATGTTCTTGGAGTAGATGAGAATGTCGTCCAGGTACACCACCACGCACTCGTCCCGCACGGGTCGTAAGATGTGATTCATCTCCGCCTGAAACGTTGCTGGTGCGTTGCAGAGTCCGAACGGCATCACCAAGTATTCGTAGGAGCCGTATCTGGTACGGAATGCTGTCTTGTGGACGGAGTTGTCTGCCATCTTGATCTGCCAATAGCCCGATCGTAGGTCCAGCTTCGAAAATACGGGTGCTCCACGCAGTTGATCGAGTAGGTCGTCTATGCGCGGTATGGGATATTTGTTTTTGACTGTCTGTTTGTTCAGTGCGCGGTAGTCGATGCACATCCGTAAACTACCGTCTGGCTTTGGAGTGAAGAGAACTGGTGCACCATAGGGAGAGGTGGATGGGCGGATCAGTTGTCTGTCTAGTAGATACTCTATCTGTTTTTCATATCTAGTCAGTTCAGTTGGACTCAGTCGGTATGGTGCACGTGAGACGGGTTTCGCACCTGGTTCCTCCACGATCTCGTGCTCGTGGGTGCGTGCTGGAGATACGCCTGTGGGTAGGTCGTCGGGCATTATATCCTTGTACTGCTCCAAGACCTCCTCCTCTGCTGCTGCTATAACCAGTGCTAAGTAACCCGTGTTACTCTCGTTCACTGTCCGTTCGAACCGTGCCAGTGTCGTTTCAGGAACGCTCCCTGTATCTGTCTAGCTTCGCAGCTCCACTCGTTTCCCGTTGTTGTAGATGCACACCTTGCTGTTGACCCAATCGATCTCGGGGTTGAGCTGCTTCAGGAAATCTTGCCCCAAGATAAAATCTAATCCCTTGATGTTCGTGATCGGCAACGTCGGCTTCCACCTCAACGCCCCTATCTGCAGCTGCAGTGTTGACTTTCCGTGGATGGGAAGCTTCGTACCGTCCACCATCGTTGCTGTAAACTGGGTTTCTTCTTAGGATTCTCCAATTTTCTCCAACGTCCCGCGGTCGCACACCGAGTGGGACGTACCACTGTCCACCAGGGCCTGGAGGCGACGCCCGTTGCAGATCACCTCGAGTACTAGTGGTTGCTGCTGCTCCGAGTATCCGTAGATGGTATCGCTTATAGGATCGTAGGGTACGTCGAATATGTTATCCCTAGGTCCTGCGCTCAAAGATGCAGCTTCAGTATCAGTTTTCAACTGAGAAAGGTTAGAAGGATTTATTCGAGGCCGATTCGGCTTCCCTTGGGCCTGGAACCTTCCACTAAGCCTTTGCAGCTGTGTAGGCTTCATCTGTGGGGAACAAGGAGCCTTTAAACAGTGCTGCTTGGAGAGAATATTAACTCCTCGGAACGCTCGACCCGTATTAGCGCTCTGGAGTAGGGTCCCCATAATACCCGGTACCGGTTTAATTTCTGACTCTCCCTTAATAAAGGCTTGAAACCCACGAGAAGTAATATTCTTACTTGTCGGGGTATACGGTTGGAGTTTCCCGGTCGGTGCAGGGTCTCGTTTCGCGGATCCTCCATTAGTCTCGGCGATTTCCCCTGGTGCCGGCTGGTCGTGACGTTTTAAATTTGCGCCACCATATTCTCCTTTTTTCGCCCTCTCCGAAGTTGCCACGTTGTCCGTTTTCTGCTTCGGGGGTGCCGCACTGTTCTTGTCCTTCAGCTCCGCACACCTTCTCTTCATTTTCCAACACGCCAAGATACGATGTCCTGTAGCGCCGCAAACTTTGCACGTCTCATTATTTGCTAGCCGCTGCTCCACATCGCCCTCGTCGTTCTCCATCGGGTCGGCAGTCGTGGGTGGTGCCAATCACCCCATACCACTAGTTGGCTTATTGCGTCGTGTTCCGTAGTACCTACTGTTCAACGTGTCAAACTGTTTGATCAGTGCTGCTGGAACCTGCGCCCACGTCCCCTCGCCTTGGACTATTCTGTTGTTGATCCACTCTAGAGCTGGGCCTCGTAACAGTGTTGCTGCGAGCCGTATGCGCATTGCGTCTTTTGTCGGGGTCGTGCATCTAACGGCTTCGAAGTAAATTTCGAGTTCAGCTACAAATCGACGAACGTCGTTCCTTTTTACTGTAGGATCGAACGCCTCCGGTAGCCTCAGCTTCACTGCTTCGAGGTTAACTATAGCTGCTGCCGTTGTCGCATGTAGAATTGTCGGTGTTGCCGCTGCTGTTGCTGCTACTGTTGTCGCTGCTGCTATGGCGGTTGCCGACAGGTTCTTAAGGAGTTTTTCGAGTCGTGGGAGCGCTGCACGTATTTGCTTATGCTCAGCACGTAACTCCGCGATTTTCTGTACTGAAATATCTCCTTTTCCCTCCATTTGGCGATTTACAGGAAGATGCGGGACGAAAATAATCGAATTCTAGGTGCTGGTCGACTTACTGCGAGTCAAATTGACTGTAGAATCGACGAGCGCGAATTCTGTAGGTTGCGTAAATCTCCCATAGGCGAAATTCGCGTCCGATCTTGGCCGTTGAGGAGAAAATCGATCTGACGCTCCAAATTCCAACTTTTTGGGGCGAAATTCTCTGGGCCGTTGAGATGAAACTCGATCGAACGGTCGAAACTCCAACCTTTCCACCAGTAAATCTGAGGGGTGATCGAAAACCGAATCGAGTGGGACTTAGACAAATTGCGCGGAACTAGTTTTACATACCCGTATCGGCGCTTTCGTCGTTGCCCCCGCAGTTTTTAAAGGCCGGAACTAAGCGGTTGAAGACCTCGCGTGTAAACCCGCTCTGATTACCAAGTGTGAGGATCTGGGATCGAGCTCAGAAAAGATGATTCAAATTGAATTGAATGATCACCTGGGTACAATACAAGGCTATATATAGGCTCGACACAAGGCCCCGTAACCAGGTGTTACGCGAAGGTTCCGCGGGTCGCGAAGCGTCCCGAACAGATCCTTACCGAATTCGGTAGAAGGCAATTCGGTGGCAACCGAAAAGCCAGAATTCGGTGCACGCAACCTAGCTCGGTGCTATAACTATAATCAAATATAGCAAAGCACCTAGCCTAGGAAATCAAGCAATTCATGCATGCATATGATTATCCTATGCTAGAAATAGCATGATAAAGTAGAGGCAAGCAAGCATAGCTGGCATAAGCCGTCGTACTCTCACAATGAACAGTACAAGCAGAAAGTATGAGCTCGCAAAGCAACCCAATATGGAAGCTTTGCGGTTCGGTTGAATTGATTGTGCAGATTCAGTTCTATCCAACTCGGAAATGTAGTGTTTTGTTTGGTTGACTAGTGTAGCGGGGCAGGCACTATAGGGGTACAATTTAGGTGAAGTTAGGATGTTGTTTGTCTGTATCTGCTTGCTACAGGGCCAGGGGAAACCAGTGGAACCAGCATTTGGCTGGTTGTTGTTTTCTCAGGTTGGAAAAACAGAACCAGAGGTTTTTTACCAACCTACCACCTTCTGTTTTTTCCAGCCAGGTTGGTTCTGTTGCTTGGAGTTATTTGGGATCATCCCTGGTTGTTCCTAGGTTTTTTCCGAAGGTCCTTTCTAGCTATAACTATTTATTCCTTTTCTGGTTGAGCACACGAAAACCACTTGATAAAATGTCACGATAAAACCACCCCTTGCAGTAGCAGCACTCACATTCAAGCTCTGCCCACTCACACTCACGCTCTCACCATTCACACTCACGCTCTCCCTACTTACACTCACGCTCTTCCCACTCACAGTCACGCTCTCTCCACTCATACTCGCACTCACATGAGCAGCCGTTGCCCGTTGAGCACTATGGATCGCTTGAGGCGCTCAAAGTTGAACTTCTCAGCCGATGCATGCAGATGTGCCATTGGGGGAGGGGGATATGGGATGAGACGTGCGATGCCGAAAAAAGGGAAGGGATTACAGAGATTGTTGTCTGATCGTGTGGCAAAGAGAATAATGAGGAGTAATAAACACAAGTTGTATTTCATAGCACGAGGGTAGGTAGGTACACATGAAGGCTAACACCCTGCTGCGATTCAATCTGTTATTCATCACAAGATGCAGGCTGTACCTAGTCCACAATTAAGTGATCAGATCCCAGCCGTCCAATGATGAGCCCAAGGTTGAACTGGCCAATCACGGCCATGCTAGCAAAGTCGTGGTGGTTGTCAAACCACCGCTCCAGCTCCCTCGCTACCGCCTCCAATGCCGCCTTTTTGCCCTCCCCCTCGCCATGCTAAAGCATCCTTCCTCCATTGCTGTGTGCAGCATTACTCGCACAATCTGTCACCGACACTGCTGCGAAGCTCCTCTGCCTATCACCACTACCGCGGCCTTTCACTCCCCTTCTTCCCTCCCTCTTCTCCCTTGCCTCCCTCTCCCGCATCTCAGCTCGCCGCCGCCACACGTGCTGTACGCGCCGCATGTCAAACTGCACTTACACGTTGCCTTCTCCGCCCTTCACCTCCCATCCTTCCCCTGACCGTGCCACTCGGTTCGCTTCGTACACGATGCAGCCCCCTCTTTTGTCTCCATTCCCTCTGCCCTAGCCTTTCCTTCGATTCCCTCATGTCTCTCGCCCCCTTCGAACTCCCTTGTGTGCCCGCCGCAACATCTCCCTTTCCATGCCCCCTTTGCCGCAGCTACCGCACAAATTTCCTGCTGCCCGGCCAACTGGGTGCCGGACAGCAGCTGTGAACCCACCAGTTTGGGCAGGTCAGCCTGAGTCATTTCTTGCGTCATCAAGGGCAGATCCAAAACATTCTTTCCTGCCCAGTCATCTTGGGTTGCCTCCTGCAAGCCACCATCAACCGCACATAGGGCAGGACCACTCCTTTCTTCATCATTCTTTTCTGCTCCTTTCCACTCCGTTGCACTCCTTTGCACTTGCATATTCCCTGCCTTCCCATCTTCCTGCTCCACTTCCCTTACCTCGTCACTATCCTCATCCTCCTCTCTCATATCCTCCCTCCCATTCTCCTTTGCATTCTCCCCCCTCTCATCCTCCTCTATTTCCACTACTTCTCCCTCCAACTCCTTCCCACCCTCTTCTAACCAACCATCCCCAGCTCTTCTCCTCACACGTGTCCCTCCATCCACTCCGCCCATCTTGCCTCCCCTGCTTCCACTTCCATTTCGTCTGCCCCCAACCCTCTTCCCCAGCCACGCGTCTAGCCCCGCCTGTCTCCCATCCGCACCTCCCCGCGCCCTTTCCACCCCTCCGCTGCTCTCTCCCCCCACCCTTCCCCTCACGACCCTCTGCCTGCCCACACCCTGCACCTGAATACCAATTCCCCCCATGGAACGCTGCCCCCCTGCCCTGCCACTGCCATTCCTTCTGCCCGCATTGCCTCCCTCACTCTCCCTCTCCTCATCCTCCTCTTCTATCTCTGGCTCTTCCTCTTCCTCTTGCTCTTCCACTTCTGCTTCCGCTTCCTCTTCCTCTTCCTCCTCTTGCTGTGCTCTCTGCCGGTCTTTCTCCCGCGCAGCAGCTTTCCTGTGTCACGTCTCAAACCCCTGCCATGCACGTGCCTGCTCCCCTCCACTCACTGTTCCCCGAGACAACAACCTCCTGTCCGCTGTGCCGCCACCACAAGTCATATCCCCGCCTCTGTCCTCACTCGTACCCACACGCACACCCCCAGCCCCACCCACACCCACACCGACACTCAAACCCAAGCCCAAGCCCTTGCTCTTGGCCTTGCCTTTGCCCTGGGGACTCATGAGCAGTAGTCGGCGCATGGCCGCTGCCTTGCTCTTACTCCACTGCAGTGTGCCTGCACTTCCACCTGCTGCTCTTTTTCCCCTTGCCGCACCCTCCATTGCCTCCTATTGTGCTGCTTCCCCCACTGCCGCCACTAGCGTTGCTTTCCCTCCTCCCTCGCCTCGCTCAAACTGATATAGAGGCTTCCTTCTATCCCCCTCCGTTTCCTCCACCTCCCCGCCTTCCGCCTCCTCTATCTGCCCATCCCCATCCCCATCACCATCCCCATCCCCAATCAACTCATCTCTCCTGCTCCCCCTCCCATCAGTATTCGCATCTCTTATTTCACCACCCCCTCGTGCACCAACAGCACCACCACCACCATCAGTATCACTATTCACCCTCACTCGCTTCCTCCTTCCCTCCCCCTCTTCCTCTCCATCCTCACCACCCTCCCCCTCATCCTCCCCATCCCCTACCCCTCTTCCCACACCCCTTCTCCCTTTTCCCTTCTCCCCAACCTCCTTCTTCACCCGTTCCTCAATATCCTTCGCTACCGAACCAGCCGGCGCAGCTCGGTAGACATACCTATTCGGAGAGTAAAACTCCGATAAAGCAGCTCTCAGCCCCGACAGCAGCGCCGCCTCCGAGTGCAAAAACACCTTGCGCTTATCCGGGGTCACGTTCACGTTGTATGCGTCCGCCCTAAGCGAAACGTTTAGGAAAGCGGTGGGGAACTGCAGGGAATTGAAGAAGCGATAGAGCTCGTTGAGCAGCTTGGAGAGGCGTGGCAGATCCACTGGACGCCCGTTGAGAAAGAAAAACTGCCGATCGCCCAAAGACCTTCCACTGCTTGCTCCTGGCCTTCACAAGAACCCGGCTACTCTGCAGCAGGAGGCTGGTAGCAGCGCAGAGGCAGTGGCAGCTGCACCGGTAGCAGCAGCAGGAGCAAGAGGGGCAGCGGTGATGGCAGCAGGGGAGAGAGGGAAGGTGATGTCGACTGGGTCGAGGCCTCCAGCAGCCTTGGCGCCAAACACAGGGATTATGTTCTCGCGCATCAACCCAGTGCCAGCTGTCTGCACCACAGTGATGCGCGCGCTGCTGCGCCCGCTCTGATTGGTGCAGAGGATGCGCGCGTGCGTGGACACCACGCACTACGCCTGCAGCACACTCACCAGCTTCGCAAACTCGCGCCGCACGTTCCGCTCAAACTCCCGCCGCCGCACGGGCAGCGGCGAGAAAATCTTCGCCACACTGACCGTAGTTCCAACTACCCTGGCGACCTGTTCCCGAGGGGCGTCTAGGAGCTTTCCCGCTTGGTCGAACGCCAGCCGCGTTGCGATTGGCTCGTTGGCAGTGCGGGTGGTGATGGTGACGTCAGCAAGGGTGCTGAGGGAGGAGAGGGCTTCCCCTCGGAAGCCGAAGGAGGAGAGCGATTGAAGGTCGGCCAAATGGGCGATCTTGGACGTGTGGTACTTGAGGGTCAGTGCCTGCAGCAGTGTACGAGCGGAAGGGTGGGTGGAGGGGGTGGTGGAGGAAGGGGGAGAGGCGGGAGAAGTGCGAGGAGGGAGAAGAGAGGTTGGAGAAGCAAGAGTAGGGCAGAGGGAAATGAAAGGAGGACGGGAATAGAGGGAAGGAGGGGAGTTGAGTGGAAGCGGAATACAGTGGGTTGGCAGGTGGGTGGTGCTTGCAGTTCAACCCCTATTTACCCTCCACCCTCCAGCCAATTCCCAGTCAGATTCGTCCCGCTCCCTGCCACCTGCCAAGCCCCCGGCTCCTTCAAATGTACCTTTAACTCCCACACCCCCTTTGTCCTCACTGACCAAGCCCCCACCTGAAAGCTGGAACCTGCCATGCCACTTACGTCGCCCCTCACACTCGTTCGTTCACCTCACCATGTACTATGCTCATCATGTACTCTGCTCCAACCGACTTTATTACATTCACACAGCCTTCCCACGCACTTGCCCACCCACCGCCCCTGATGGACCCTTGACCGTCCTCAACGCCCCTCGACCACCCTCAACACCCCTCCACCGTCCTCAATGCCCCTAAAGTGCCAATATAGAACCCTCGATCCCAAGCTGTACGTGCCAGTTGTGGAGAGCGACCCCACAGCCGTTGTCCGCCATCTTGATGAGCTCCGCACCCCACCCCCTCAACCGCACCTCCACGCTCGCTCCCGCGCGCCCAGCCTGCCCACGGGCCGCCCTCAACGCCCCTTGGCCGCCCCTAGAGTTCGTTCAACGCTCCCTAGGCAGTCACGGCGTCACCTGCCAGTTGGGAGGAGTGACCCCACAGCCGTTGTCCGCCATCTTGAAGAGGTCCGCGCCCAAGTCCTTCAAGCGCACCTCCATGCTCATCGCCCCCGCGTCCAACCTGTCCATCAACCACACTCAACGCCCCTTGACCGCCCAGGAGCCCACTCAACGCTGTGAAGGCAGCGCAGGCGTCACCTGCCAGTTGGGGTGTGCGACCCTACAACTGTTGTCGGACACCTCAATGAGCTCGGCGCCCAAGTCCTTGAGTGAGGCGCACCTCCACACTCGCCGCCCCCGCGTCAAGGCTACCTGTTAACCGCCCACAATATCCCTAGAGCCCCCTTCACGTCACCTGCCAGTTAGGAGGCGCAACCCCACAGCCATTATCCGCCACCTCAATGAGCTCGGCACCAAACTTCTTGAGGCACACCTCCACGCTCGTCGCCCCCGCGTCCAGGCTTTTCTCCACCAGCTCCTTCGCCGCGCCCGCCACGTCCAACACCACCTGCGTGGGGGATGGGTTGCAAGGGAGAGGGGAAGGAGGGGGGAAGGGGGAAGGAGGCGAGGGTTGGGTGGTGAGAAGCTGGCCCCTAGGTTGTTCCCCACCAGCTCCTTCACCGCGCCTGCCACGTCCAACACCATCTGCGCACAGCGGATGGGGAGGGAGGGGGTGGGGAAGGAGGAGGGAAGTGGCAGGCGGGTGGTGGGAAGAAGCAGGTACCCCACTGGCAGCGACAAAGCTCTCCACCAGCTCCCTCACCGCCTGCCACGTCCAGCACCACCTGCGCGGGGCGTTGGGGGTGCGGGGGTAAGGGGAGGATTAGGGGGGTGGTTGGTTGGTAAAAGCAAGAATTGTTGGGTGCAAATTCACATTGCACGACATCCTGCCGTCTGTTTGTATGAGTATGCGTGTGCGAATGCATTTGGGTGTGTTGGAATGTTCGTGTGTTTGTTTGCTTTCGCAATTTTCGCTTGAAGCATTTGCAGGTACTCGCGCATTATGCGCTTCGGCACAACATTGTACGCGCTATGAACAGTACAAGCAGAAAGGACGAGCTCGCAAAGGAACCCAAGATGGAAGCTTTGCGGTTCGGTTGAATTGATTGTGCAGATTCAGTTCTATCCAACTCGAAATTGTACTGTTTTGTTTGGTTGACTATAGTGTAGCAGGGCAGGCACTATAGAGGTACAATTTAGGTGAAGGTTGGATGTTGTTTGTCTGTATCTGCATGCTACAGGGCCAGGGGAAACCAGCGGAACCAGCATTTGGCTGGTTGGGCAAAGACAAAACAGGTTCTGTTTTTAGGACCTGAACCTGGTTGTTGTTTTCCCAGGTTGGAAAAACAGAACCAGAGGTTGTTTACCAACCTACCACCTGCTGTTTTGTCCAGCCAGGTTGGTTCAGTTGCTTGGAATTATTTGGGATCATCCCTGGTTGTTCCCAGGTTGATTCCCAAGGTCCTTGCTAGCTAGAGCTATTTATTCCTTCTCTGTTTGTTCCTGAATATAGTCAATTTGATTCAAGCGAATTCCTCCCTTCTTGGAATTTCGTTTCTACGCGGTGCGACGGCGGAATGCTACCCGAGTCAACGCTAGTACGCTAGCACTCCAACGCTAGGCAAACGCTGTTCGAGCCATAACTTTGTAATGGCAGAACTTTTTGCGAGGCAACTTGGCTTATTTTAAAGCTCTTGGAGTGAGCTTCGATATAGGAATTTCTTAGCTTAATCCGGTCGACGGTCTGCATGATACGCTGCGCGACGTTCAAGGTACTCTTGCTGTTTTGACTAAGTCCCTCTTGATCCCTCTCTCTACAAACTCGGACCCGAGGATAGGGGCTGGTCTTGTACCAGGCACCCAAGGACCCTTGGAGGTGACCCCGAAGAGAGGTTTTAAGTTTGATAAAGTCTTAATAGCTTGAGTTTATTAGGCCCTTACACCAACAAGAATTACACTAGCCGCGTCCGTGTTCTTCACCAGCTCTGCGACACGTTCCAGGGTTGCGATCCCAAGCGCGCCAATTTCAAGCTCGTGTGGCGGGGCGAAAGGCGAGCGGCAAGAGAGGGACAAAGGACGTGGTACAATTGCGGGTCGAGAGGAGCTCCCGGGTAAAGGGGAGGGGGGGGAGTTGGGGAGAGATTGGGGGCGGGATATTGGGGGGGGGGGGGGGGAGAAAGGTGGGAGAGGGGGAGGGCGGGCGAGACAAACTGCGCGAGGCAGACGATATTGCCAGTGGTGCTTGGTTAGGGCGGATGCAGGAAACTGTGCGGAGTAGATTGGCCACACGAACGGCTATTGCAGAATAACGACAAAACTAGTTAAAGGTTTGGCCTATCGGGCTTACCTGTCCCGGGCATATGCGGCGAATGGCGGTTTTATCTATTGCCTGGATCACGGTTTTCCTACCGCTGCTCGCGCTACCGCTAACGCCAGCGTCATTGCTTCTATTAGCTAGCATACCGTGAACTGGCATGCTCGAATAAACGGAACGAGTAAAACGATATGGATGGACTGTTCGCAGAGTGTGCTGCACTCCTGTGGGCGCTAGCGCTGTTGGCAGTTGCACGTGCATTGGTGGCAGGCAGGCACTGTCAGTTGGCGTGCTGGCTATTGGCATGCGTGCAGCCGCTGCAGTACGCGGCAATGCGTGCGCTGCACATGATGCTACTGGCTGCACGTGGTGCGCGCGTTGCTGCGTGGCCATGGTGGCTGCGTGCGCGAAGCTGCTGCTAGTGTGTCGCGCGCTGCTGCTGCTAGTGTGTCGCGCGTTGCTGCTGCTTGTGCATGGTGTGTAGGCAGCTAGCGGGCTGTGTGCTTCACGCTACGCAGTGGGGAGGCGCGATGCCTGTGGACGACTGGTTGGCTGACGAGGAAGCTGGTGGTGTGGCTTACCAGGAGGGATTTAAGTTACTAATCTAAAGCTTAGGAACGATCCTATACGAGTATACTGAAACGTTGCTGGGCAGGGAAGTAGCAGCCTTAGTAGGCTAGGAAAACGGGTATGAAGTGCTCTTTGGAGTTCTCTGGAATTTCCAATATTTTCAACAAATTTCACACACAATTACATGGGATGCATTCACAAAGCGAGTCGCACTACCAAGTCGCGACACTCTCAATTTCTTATTGGTAACTCTACCCCTTGAAAGAAAACCTTGCCGTGAAATTCATATATTCATTGCGATGCGGGATTGGTCGACGAGTTGATTACAAGGCTGTAACTTTGTCGGTGTGGTTGGCGAACTCGCCGAGGAGTTGAAACTTCGGTGTTCTACATTTCGTCATTTTCGTGCGTGAGATTGACTTGGGCTATGCGTCAGGATCTGGTCGCCCAGCTGCAGGTTGAGGCGTTTGACCAATACGAACAGTAGGTGAGGTGGCGCTTGATTTCTGCCCACCTACACTATACTTGGCAGCATTCGACTGCCACACTGTTACATATACCATCTAAGAGTAGTGGAAGTGAGTTTACTTGGAAAGAATATCGAGATGCACAGAGCAAGAGGTTGTACTCTCTAGGGAGTACCACGCTATATCCTAGCCTAACTTCATATATATAATCTGACGAACAAGTACAGTACATGCCTCTACTCCCACCACAACCTGAAATAACAAAAGTGTTTTGAGGTGGTTACCAGGTGCCCAACAAGTAAACGTGAGGACGCGTCACATTGCAACACCGGCGAGGATCAAGGTCGCACACTGAAGCTATGAACATCAATCTCCTCCGAGCCACTGACGAGAAGTGAGAATGGAATGAATGAACTATGAAACAGTTGGGTACAAGTACTAACCCTAATTGGGTTGTACCCCTTATGGGCTACCCCACTACAGCCTACACAAATGTATAAGCTATAATGTTGTGACACACCCCCATAGGCAAAGTGGGGGAGAACAAGTGGTCACAAGACCAGTCAAGCAAAGCAAAGCAAAGCAAGCTCAGGGTGGATCACAAAGTCACCACACAGTCCAAGCACAAGAGTAAGGCCACAAGGCCAGTTCACATGCAAGGTCATATATATAAAGGTAAAACAAACAAGGGCAAGTATAGAAAGAATACAGTACAAACAAGATCAAGAAGTGGGCAAGTGAGGCCAGGTAGGCACAAGACCTAGCACAGTACAGAAGCGCTGATGATCACACGGCGGAAGGGCCTTGGTGAAGATATCAGCAGTGTTGGCCTCAAAGGCCACGTAGGTGAGGCGCAGCTGACCACGCTGCTGCAGCTCATGAGACAGGAAGTAGCGGAGAGCAATGTGCTTCGTTCTGTGCTCCAGTCTGTGTTCCCGACACAAGGCCAGCATGGCCTTGTTGTCTACGTACAAAACTGGAGGAGAACGAGGCGGCTCTCCTAGGTTAGTCAGCAGGTAGGTGAGCCAGCGTAGCTCCTGTGCAGCCATGGCCCCTGCGTAGATCTCAGCCTCACAGCTGGAGCCGAGAACAGAGGACGAGCGGGTAGACCGCCACGAAACAGAGCCGGAGCCAAGGCTGAAGGTGTAACCCTGTGACGACCGCTGGTCGTCAGCCCAAGCAACGTCAGCGTGACCTGTGAGGACTACTCGATGTCGCCCTCCAAGCACTAGCCCCATGCCCGACGTACTGCACACGTAGCGCAACACCCTCTTCGCTGCAGCCATGTGCTCTGGTCTGTGTCTCCCAGGAGCAACATAGCGTGCCAAGATGCTAAGAGGGTATGCAAGGTCAGGTCGTGTGCAGGTCATCAGGTACATGAGGCAGCCAACAAGCTCTGGGTACGGGCCACTCGGCTCTACGGACTCATCCGAAGGCAGAGCTGAGAGCGAGTGGCGAGTAGACGGAAGAGTGGCCTGAGGCGAGGAGTACGTGAAGCCGAAGCGCTGAAGGACCTGTTGCACCATGTGTGACTGAGTCAGGGAAATGCTGCGCTGTGCTCTGTCCCGGGTGATTTGCAAGCCAAGGTAACTGCGCAGTTCACCCATGTCCGTGCATGTGTGTCTCTTCTGCAGCTCGGACTTCACGTGGGCGAGTCCAGCAGTGACAGCAGTGGCAAAGACCAAGTCGTCAACGTACACGAGGATGTAGAACGGCGGCAGAGAGGTGTTGGTGCGCAGAAACAGCAACGGGTCGGCTGTAGAAGGAGCAAGCCCAAGAGCCGCAAGTGTAGTCCTCAGTGTGTCGTGCCACTCAAGGGGCGCCTGGCGGAGACCGTAGACTGGCCGCCGGAGGCTCCACTAGGTACCAGGAAGAAACGACCCAGTGAAGCCAGGAGGGCGGCGCAGCCAGATCTCCTCGTGCAGGCTGCCCTGCAAGAAAGCTGTGCTAAAGTCAAGAGAGTGAAGCTCGTAGTCGCGCTGAGCGGCTATGTGCAGCAGCACCCAAAAGTCATCTTCGGGGTGGGAGAGAAGGTCTGAAAGTAGTCAACTCCTTGCCGGTGACTGAAGCCTCGAGCCATGTAACGCGCCTTGAAGACAGGCGGAGAACCCGGCGGCCGCTTCACCCTGAAAATCCACATGCCACTGACGATGTTCGCCCCAGGTGAGGGAACCTCGTCGACATAGGTGCCTGTGGACTTCCAGGAAGCCATCTCTGCGTCCATGGCCAACTACCACTGAGAGGAGTAGGGACCCTCGATCGCCTCAGCGTACGATCGAGGAGTGGGGATGTCTGGTGCATCCGGGTCTCCCTCAGGGGCAATCAGCGTGGACACGAGATGGGGCAAAGCAGCCGCAAAGCACTGGAACTCCTCCTGCGTGTCCTCAAGGATATCCGTGTTAAGAGCACACTCACCCCCGACGGACGGAGGACAGACAGACTCAGACTCAGCAACAAGATTGGCAGCGTATTCTAGACGACAGTGAGCACTGAAGTCGACAAGCTCAACAACTAGAACAGACGCAGCAGTGGACTCAAAGGAAGGGTCACTGACGACACTAGCAAGAAGGCGTGTGACCAAAGGACTAGCAGCACGAAGAGAGTCAGACTCCGGGTCAGCAAGAGAAGGAAGAGAGGACTCTGGAGGAGATGGCAAAGGGACACGCAGAGAAGCAGTGGACGGACGCAGTGCCATCTGGTGTGTGCTGGGGACCGCAGTAGGACGCGGACGCGCAGCACGACGACTGGTGCGAGCAGCTCGAACAGGTGACGCAGGACGAGACGCAGGCTCACGACGCTCAGCAAGACCTCTAGTAGGACCAGTGTAGGGAGAAGGAGCAGGTAGCGGGGAGGCGGGCTGTAACTGTGACTGCGACTGGACAAGCTGTGGACACTCTAAGGGAGGAGCAGGACCAGGAGAGGGAGGGAGACTAATAACCTGCTTTAGGAGCGGAACGAAGTACGGCCTCGGCCGCTCACCGCCTCCAGAACCAGTAAGGACCGCACCTCTACCCCCAGCGGCAGCACCAGCACCAGCAGAACCTTGAGCGCCAACTCCAATACCCTCAGAAGCACCAGCGCCAGTAGCACCGCCAGCGCCAACACCCCCAGCAGCTCCAGCTCCAGCAGCACCAAATCCAGTAGGACCGTCAGCACCAGCTGCCTAAGCAGCACCCCCAGACGCACCAGCACCAGTAGAAACACCAGCGCCAACACCCCCACCAGCTCCACCTCCAACAGCACCAGCACCGACAACAGCTCCAGCAGCACCCGCAGACTCAGCAGCACGTCTCCGGTGGCGGGCGAACCACTCGCGCAGCTCCTGTGGAGAGAGCGGCTCCCACCTCGACGAAGCACCGCCGGCGGCCACATGAGCAAACCCAGCACCCCCAGGCACCGCACCCGTAGGCTCAGCACCCGCAGGCTCAGCACCCCCAGACTCAGCACCCCCAGGCTCAGCACCCCCAGCCTCAGCACCCCCAGTCTCAGCACCACCAGACTTAGCACCCCCAGACCCGGCACCCGCAGACCCGGCACCCGCAGGCTCAGCACCTCTAGCAGCACCAGAGTCAACAGCTACCTCGACAAGCTCGACTGCGTCTACCTGGGACACACCTGAAGGGGCAGGATCCTGAGGAGGGAGGGGGTCTACCTGGGTAGCACCTGGCGGAAGGAAGAACGGCGGCGGGGGGAGGGGCGCAGTGCGGTAGGGGAAGAGATGGTAGTAAGGAACCGACTCGTCAAAGGTGACGTCCTGGGAGGACAGAACATGGCGCGAGGTGGGGTTTTAAAACTGGGGTAGCAGACGCAATGGCACCTGGGGTAGCAGACGCAGTGGCACCTGGGGCAGCAGACGCACTAACACCTGGGGCAGCAGACGCACGAGCACCTAGAGCAGCAGCCTCACCAGCACCTAGAGCAACGGCCTCAATGCCCGGGTCAGGCGGTACACACGTGTAACAGTCACCCTCAACACTAGTAGTCAGAGAATACATGGGAGCAAGGATAGCATCATAGTCAAGATCAAAGACGGCAGCCCCCGCCCTAGACAGATCTCCCCAGCGAGGGATCTCTGACGCCTCAGGGAAGTGGTGATGCCACGCGTCCGTCAGGTGACCAAAGCAGCGCTGGGTGGAGTGCGGACTACGCATTGCTCAGCGGTGCGGTCGCCGGTACGGAGAACGTAAGAGCATGGACCAAAACCCCCACCGCGCTGGCGTGCAGTGTACCACTCACGAAGCTGCTGACGGGACAGGGTCACACCACTCCGCTGCTGCTGCTGGCGCTGACCACCACTGGCGCAACTCCTCGGCGCAGAGTCGCGACTCACTCCACCACCGCTGCCTCCGCCGCCGCCGCCTCCTCCGCCTCCGCCGCCTCCTCCACCTCTGCCTCCTCCACTACCTCCGCCGCCTCCGCTCCCTCCGCCACCTCCACCGCCTCCGCCGCCTGCACTGCTGCCGCCGCCACCGCCACCCCCGCCACCACTCCCACCACCACCCCCACTCCCTCCACCGCCTCCACCACCACCTCCACCGCCCCCTCCACCCCCTCCAGTGCCCTTGCCCCCCTTGCCCTTACCAGTGCAGCGTCTCCCGCTCGGGGAAGACGCAGCGCCGACTGACTCGAAACCAACGAGGTCGGCCGCAGCAGCAGAGGCAACAGAGGGCCAGAGGGGGGAGGGAGATTACCCCTCAAAGACAGGGGTGCAAGGGTCACCACGAGAGGCTCCTATAGCGACTATGGTCTTCTCTATCGCTAGGAAGGCCTTCTCGAGGAGGTCAACAGTGAGAGTGGTGGGGCAAACAGAGAGGAAGTGGTCCCTGACTACCCGAAGAGAGTCAGGGAGTCGGGTTACTATGTAGTAGAGGGTGATGTACATGGGGGGGGGGGGGTTTTGGCGCAGAACTCAGCAGGAAGCGCAGCGCGGTAGCGAGTGTCACTAGTGCGGAGGTGCGTAATGAGATCACCGACACTGGGAAAGGCAGCAAGGTCAGGGAAGTGTTGGTGTAAGGGCCTAATAAACTCAAGCTATTAAGACTTTATCAAACTTAAAACCTCTCCTCGGGGTCATCTCCAAGGGTCCTTGGGTGCCAGGTACAAGACCAGCCCCTATCCTCGGGTCCGAGATTGTAGAGAGAGGGATCAAGAATGACTTGGTCAAAATAACAAGAGTACCTTGAACGTCGCGCAGCGTATCGTGCAGACCGTCGACCGCCCTAAGCTGAGAATTTCCTATATCGAAGCTCACTCCAAGAGCTTTAAAATAAGCCAAGTTGCCTCGCGAAAAGTTCTGCCATTACAAAGTTATGGCTCGAACAGCGTTTGCCTAGCGTTGGAGTGCTAGCGTACTAGCGTTGACTCGGGTAGCATTCCGCTGTCGCACCGGGTAGAAACGAAATTCCAGGAAGGGAGGACTTCGCTTGAATCAAATTGACTATATTCAGGAACAAACAGAGAAGGAATAAATAGCTCTAGCTAGCAAGGACCTTGGGAATAAACATGGGAACAACCAAGGATGATCCCAAATAATTCCAAGCAACAGAACCAACCTGGATGGACAAAACAGCAGGTGGTAGGTTGGTAAACAACCTCTGGTTCTGTTTTTCCAACCTGGGAAAACAACAACCAGGTTCAGGTCCTAAAAACAGAACCTGTTTTGTCTTTGCCCAACCAGCCAAATGCTGGTTCCGCTGGTTTCCCCTGGCCCTGTAGCATGCAGATACAGACAAACAACATCCAACCTTCACCTAAATTGTACCTCTATAGTGCCTGCCCTGCTACACTATAGTCAACCAAACAAAACAGTACAATTTCGAGTTGGATAGAACTGAATCTGCACAATCAATTCAACCGAACCGCAAAGCTTCCATCTTGGGTTCCTTTGCGAGCTCGTCCTTTCTGCTTGTACTGTTCATAGCGCGTACAATGTTGTGCCGAAACGCATAATGCACGAGTACCTGCGAATGCTTCAAGCGAAAATTGCGAAAGCAAACAAACACACGAACATTCCATTCACACCCAAATGCATTTGCACACGCATACTCATACAAACAGACGGCAGGATGTCGTGCAATGTGAATTTGCACCCAACAGGAAGAGGTACGGTAGCATGAGGCGGCTCAGTGCAGCAGTGGCAGAGGAAGAGTAGCGTGCAAGTACAGCGTCGTACAAGGTCTGAGCACTCTTGTACTGGCTAAAGTGTGCACGCTCAGTGGTCGGTAAGTGGCGGCGCACAGCAAGGCGAGGAGCAGCGTCATGTGTGGCCCACTGTGAGCGAACAGTGGCATCAGCATCACCAACAGGGGCAGGGGAGGCACCAGAAGTGAGGTCAAACAGGGAGAGGCCGTCTGCCCTATCGCACTGCAGGAAAAGCTGCAGATAATCTACCCAGACCTCAAAGTCCACTGCCCGACCCTCAGCGTCAAAGGTGAGAACGCTAGGGGAAGCCATAACAGCTGTAGGCAGAGCAGTGCAGTGGCAGAGACTGTGCTCTTACCAGGTAGGTGGGGCGATCGGGTTGCTCGGCGGCTCGGCTGTCTGGCGGCTCGGATGCAGGGCGGCTCGGCTGCTGGGCGGCTCGGCTGTCGGGCGGCTTGGCTGCTGGGCGGCTCGGCTGCTGGGCGGCTCGGTTGCTGGGCGGCTCGGTTGCTGGGCGGCTCGGGCGGTCGGGCGGCTGAGCTGGCCGGCGGTTCGGCTGCTCGGCGCTGAGGGCGCTGGGCGGGGGGGTTCAGGTGGTGGCGAGGTCGCAAGGGTGGGCGGGGCCGTGGTGGCAACGGGGCCGACGTGGGCGACGTACCGGGGCCGCGACGGGGCCGTAGCGGGGCCGACGGGGCCAAAGTGGGGCCTAAGTGGGGCCGTAGCGGGGCCGACGGGGCCGTAGCGGGGCCGTAGCGGGGCCTAAGCGGGGCCGTAGCGGGGCCGACAATGGCGGCTAAGCGGGGCCGTAGCGGGGCCGCAGTGGGGCCGTAGCGGGGCCAAAGCGGGGCCGACGGGGCCCAAGAGGGGCCTAAGCGGGGCCGTAGCGGGGCGGACGGGGCCTAAGTGGGGCCGTAGCGGGCCCTGCCGTCGCGGCCCTGTTTGAAGCCGTCGCAGCCCTGCCCTACCGTCGCGGCCCTGCCGCCCTGCCGTCGCGGCCCTGCCACCCTGCCATCGTGGCCCTCCTTAACGCCGTCGCAGCCCTGACCTGCCGTCGCTACCCTGCCGCCCTGCCGTTGCGGCCCTGCCGCCTTGCCGTCGCGGCCCTCCCTGAAGCCGTCGCGGCCCCGCCTTGCCGTTGCGGCCCTGCTTGGAGCCGTCGCGGCCCTGCCTGGCGCCGTCACGACCCTACCTGCCAACCCCGCGGCCCTTTCTACGGCCGAAGTCGCGGACCTGCCTACCGCCGCTGTTGCGGCCCTGCCTACAGCCGCCGTTGTTGCGGCTCTACCTTGCGCCCGCGTCGCGGCCCTGACCTGCCGGCGCACCGCGGCCCTGCCCTTCCAGCTGCGGCCCTACCCCGATCCCGCCCTGGTAAATGCACCGCCGCAACCGCGCCGCCCTGCCGAGCCGCGCAGCCTTACCGAACCGCGCCGCCCTACCGAGCCGCGCCGCCCTTCCGAGTCGCGCCGCTCTGCAGAGTCGCGCTGCTTCTGCTGCTTCTGCTGCTAGTGCTATTGCTACTGCTAGTGCTACTGCTGTCATGGCTACCCCTAATGTACTTACCTTCGATGCTGAGGGTCGGGCAGTTGATTTCGAGGTCTGGGTTGATGATCTGCAGCTGTTTCTGCAATGCGATTCTAGAGACGGAGTCTCACTGTTCGATCACACGTCCGGCGTCTCTGTTGCACCTGCTGCTGATGCAGACAATGCTGTTTGCTCGCAATGGACCACGCGCGATGCTGTTGCCCGTCTAGCTGTTTGTAGTCACCTGCCGTTTGCTGAACGTGCGCACTTTAGCCACTACAAGACCGCTAGGACTCTGTACGACGCTGTTGTTGCGCGCTACTCCTCCCCTGCCACTGCTGCCCTTAGCCGCCTCATACTGCCGTACCTATTCCCTGACCTAGCTGCTTTTGCCACAGTTGCTGACCTCATTACACACCTCCACACTAGTGATACCCGCTACCGCGCTGCACTTCCTCCCGAGTTCTGTGCTGCGAAACCCCCCCCCCCCCCCCCCATTGTGCACATCACTCTCTACTACCTCGTCACCCGGCTCCCTGACTCCCTTCGCTCGGTTAGGGACCACTTCCTCTCCCTTTGCCCCACCACGCTCACCGTTGACCTCCTCGAGGAGCGCCTTCTTGCAGCTGTGAAAAGTATAGTTGCTGTAGGAGCCTCTCGTGGCAACCCTCGTGCCCCTTTCTTTGAGGGGTGCTCCCCCGTTCCCCTTTTAGCACCGTTCCCCTTTTTTCCCCGTTCCCCTTTTAGTTATAGCACTGAGCTAGGTTGCGTGCACCGAATTCTGGCTTTTCGGTTGCCACCGAATTGCCTTCTACCGAATTCGGTAAGGATCTGTTCGGGACGCTTCGCGACCCGCGGAACCTTCGCGTAACACCTGGTTACGGGGCCTTGTGTCGAGCCTATATGTAGCCTTGTGTTGTACCCAGGTGATCATTCAATTCATATTCTCTTTTCTGAGCTCGATCCTAGATCCTCACACCTTGCATCCATTCATCTGTTCTTCCCTTTGTTTATCCTTTCCTTTCTATGTTCTTCCTTTCGTCCATCCTTCCCTTCCTCTGTTCCTCCCTTCATCCATCCATCCTTCCATCCGTCCTTCTCGTCGTCTATTCCTCCCTTCCTCCCTACATCCCTTCCTGTTTGCTCCGCGCTTCACCTCCCCTTCTCCTCACCTGATCGCTCTACGCGGCCTCATTGCAGGGACTCCTCGCAGGGAAAGAAGGGGAAAGGGAGGAGAATAAGGCGGAGTAGGGGAAGAGGATGATTCGATTGTGAAAAGAGAGTGTAGGAGGGTTCGTGTGGGTTAAGCCACCAGTGTCTCCCTCCTCTTGTCTCCTTTTCTGCCGTCCACACCTCCTATCGCCCTCTGCTACATCTCTCCAACTGCAACTTTGCAAGCTTCAGCTGGTCATGTACACCCCTCCTATTTTGCCCCATACCCTCCCAATTGTTTTACCCATCCCCCTCCTCATTGTCTCCCCTCCGCAAAAAGAAAGTAGTAGCGATTGAAGGGACAATAGGTGAACGAATGGGAAGAGGAGAGAAGGCAGCGGGGTGGAAAACCAGGGCGACGGCGCGTGAGAGGGGAGTAGGCATGGGCGACGGGGAAAGGAAGAGAGGGCAAATAAGATGGAAGCTCGACAAAGAGTCGGCGGCGGGAATGAGAACGACGTCGACGCAGCGACAGGTGGGAGAGGTGAGGTCGACGGGGCGAGCGATGGGGCGGGGAAGCCAAGGCGACGGGCGGGGGAAGCGTGTAACGCACTGCTACCTACTTTCCCGCCTAACTCCCTAACTAACGACCCAACACTCTAAGGCATTCGTCGAGATGGCTCTCAATAGAAATTGGGCTACGAGTGATTGAAGGTTGGGTTGGGAGCAGGCCTGTCAATTGACGGGCATATGCACTTAATGCCCTGAAATTTTGGGCTACTTTCGCTCCAGCTTTACTGCATAAAGTGTTTGGATCACCCTGCATCCGTGCCACTACGTGTTTTGTTCGACCCTTCCCCGGATGCGTTAAGTGCTCCAACCAGGCCTCCCCCACCCAAAAAGTTTTGATTTCCGGTTCTAGGACCCCCCCCCCCCCCCCCCCCCCCCCAAAGAATTTATGCCTGACCCCCTTACCCCTCCCCCCTTTCTCCTTAGGTTGTACGAGAGTGCGCCAAGGGGATTTTTCCCTTAGTGTTTTCTAGCCAATCCCGTGTTTGTGATATCTCAAAGTCAGCTTTGGAGCAGCCAAAATTTTCCTTAGCTAAGATAATATAAGTGCAAGCCCGTATATCAAGTTTTCCCTTTGGCCTGCGCTCGTGACCGTTAAGAGCGACAAAACACTCAGCTACGGCCAAAACAAGGTCAGATAGGGAGGAGCTGGGGACTTCAAGTATGGGCCCCAGGAACTTCGACAGGCCTGGTTGGGAGAGAAGGTTGGGTCGGGAGAGAAGGTTGGGTCGGGAGAGAAGGTTGGGTTGGGATTATTTCCAAACCTGAACCAATAGGATTGGGAAACTCCAACCCATCGAAGTGAAATCACAAAGGTTGGATTTCCAACCAATCACAAACTGCCAGTTCAATGTTACAAACTACTCTATCTTAAAAACAACCACTCAATGGTTCTCAATTGGGTTTTCCCAACCCAACTAATTGCCACATAGGCTCCAAGCCTAGGGACCATCCCACCATGGAAACCATGGTTGGGAAAATCCCCCAAGGGCTGTATTGAGGGGGTTTGAGCGACTTGGAAAGCTCCCACAGTGCGAGTGCATAGTGGGGCCCTGAGGGAGCATCAAGGTTGGACAGTTTGAAAGAGCGTGAGGGGTGAAAGACGATGATAATGGAAGGGTTGTTTCCAAGCAACACTGTGTGCTACATCTGAAGCAATCCAGGGCTTTGTTCGGCAGGCGTTAAAAAGGCATTAAGAACGTGTTAAATCGCAAACCACAAAGTTTTAGGGGAAATCCGTCGGGCCGAATCTGCGAATGTAACCGGGTTGCAAAATTCACAATTTATTTGCGGAATTTGCAAAATTCGCAAAAAAATAAATGGATTTTATGGCCGTATAACGAGACGTCGTCAAAGTGACACCGCAACGTCCCCAATACAGCCACCAAAAATGGCCCGTCGTTGTGATAGAATAGCGCGGGCTCACGCAAAGGGGCGTGCTGTTTAGAGTTTCCCAACTGACCTGACTGACCTGTGATGTTTGTGACTGACCAAAGCAGTAATGCTTAGCAAGCAAGAGAGCAAAAATGGTTGGTGATTGACAAATTGTTGAATGACGGTGGGGAGGAGTCCTTCCTCTATATACTGTACCGTGGTGTGGCCGATGCGATGCATCAACCGCAATTCAAATTTGTGCGACTCGGCCGTAGCTTGCAGCACAACCATTGGATAGCGTGCTGCGTTTGATTAGAACATTCCAACGGTGACCAAAGCTTCTAGAACGTTTGATAGGCGATATTCGTTGCTTTGCCTTCCTTCCTCGGAGGCTCGCCGAAGCAGGCAACCTCGATATGACGGGGTTTCTCTGCTGCGTAAGAAGCGTTGGAAGGCAGAACCTTGAGTTGAGGTTACAGATCTCAGACATAAATATTTAGTGTGCAAAGCATACAACCTTTTTTTTTATAATTATGTAGTAGTCAATCATTTCCAATTACTTAATCAATCATGTACAGCTGTACTGTATATTTTTTCACAACAAAAATATGAAGGACCTGTTGCAAATCCCTAAACCTACCAATATATATATCCATGTCTTGCATGTTCTTATAAAAAAAGCCTCAAGTCAAACATGTGCCGCATGGAAAGCTCGTTGAGTTGTCACGTAGTGATGCTTCTTGGCGGTTTCGTGCATCAGATGCAGCCCCTATTGCATCTTTCTTGGCAGTTGTTACATGACAACGGACATCATCAGTGGCAGAGGTAGAGGAGCAGGTTCTGGGTCAGGGAGGGGCGCGTCTGCCAGCATTGAGATAAGCTCACACACATCTAGATGACGGGAGCAGGAGAACAAGAGGGGCACATTTGGACCATATGCGATGAGGAGAATCTAGATCATGGCGAGAGGGCAAGGTGCATGATAATAAAACATGGCAGACCTACAAAGTCGAAATATATTGGCAGGTGTAGAATGTTTGCCCGTATAGATAATACTGGTATTTGCTTGATCATGGGGTATGTGGCTGTCAAAATATTATGATGCTCTTGTTGTATAGGCTGTAGTGGGGTAGCCCATAAGGGGTAAAACCCAATCAGGGTTAGTACCCATACACGGCTTTATTCTCAATGCATCCATTCTCGTTCAGCATTCTGACAGTGGCAGCAACAGAAGCGGTTTGTGTACGATATAAAAGTTCCGTAGAAAGAATAAGCACCAGATCATGTGAACCAAGCACCGGCCAAACTCACCCGAAGCAAGAAAGACAATGTTCTTCGAGAAAGGGATGGCAGAGAGGCAGAACCGACGGCCCGATGGAGCACTCTCATCCACGGAGAAATGAAAGCCATTGGATCTGATGAGAAGGGTGTATAGACATAAGAGTTGGGCGATATAGGCAGTGGAGAGGAAGGGTGACAAGACCAAAGGGCCGATGAACACAAAGAAAACGTGAGGAGATAAAAGATGTCAATATACAGATGACATGAAAAGCCGATGAACACAAAGAGAAGATGAGGGGATGAGAGATGTCAACATAGAGATGACATGAAATTTGATGTGTACAAATGGAGAAAGGGCATGAAGGAGGGATATCTAATTGCACGGTCATGAAACGCCACAGTGGCTTGACAAGGATGTGAGGGTGTGACAACATGGCTATAAGAGGCGATAACAAAAAGGGGTGACGCGGCAAGGCAGTAAGAGGAAGTTAAAGTGGAGATCAAATCTGTGTGCTCCACAGTTGTTGGCCACATGTGATACATGGTGCAATGACAGCAGCACACTTGGTCGAAGTGTGGTAAATGTGTGTTCTCAATGACGCGATCACATGACACACATCACTAGCGTGCACCTGAATGTTGGCATGTGTGCCGATACAATCATTTCCTCTGGTGGTGGCAGATCCAGCCATTGAGGCCTGCAAGAGAGTCCAGGGAGGAGCATCATTGAAAACGCCAAGCAGATATAAGCAACAAAAGAACGAGTAACAAAAGAGAGCATAGGCGAGAAAGTATTGAAGAACATAGGCGAGCACCACCTAGGTGGGTGGGGCTCAATGATTTGAATCAAAAATAAGATAGAAATATGCCCTCTCAATACCATCACTCACACGAGCAGTGGTCGCTAGAAGCATGGATTGCACGAGCCACTCAAAGCTGGTCTAAGATTTTCCCTTTTAACATTTGAACCTAACTTTCAGTCGTACAACAATTAGATGGACACCCACTGTGGTTTTCTACCATCCACATTGGCGCCACTCATACTGACGCCACTCATACTTGCACCATTCTCACTCGCACGAGCAGTGGCTGCCTGTTGAGCATGGTGGATCACATGAAGCGCTCAAAATTGTACTTCTTGTCTGATGCATGCTGATGTGGCATTGGGAGGGGGGGAGGACGGAGGAGATATTGGACGAGAAGCGAAAAGGGACGATTGGATGAGATGAGGAAAATCAAGATGAGATGACGGGAGAATCCTCGATTGGATGTGTGTTTAGAACGATAGAGAGGTAAGAAAGGATATGAATATCATACACAAAAATGTAAGGCACAACGCTTGGTATAACTCATACCAACATGCATGCTGTTCCTGGTCCACAATGAAGAGATCAGATCCCAGCCGTCCAATGATGAACCTGAGGTTGAGCTGGCCAATCACAGCCATGCTGGCGAAGTCGCGCTTGTCAAACCGCCGCTCCAGCTCCTTCGCTGCCGCCTCCAACGCCGCCTCCTTGCCCTCCCCCTTGCCATGCTGAATCGTCCTTTCACCACTGTTCTGTGCAGCATTACTCGCACCATCTACCACCGACACCGCTGCAAAGCTCCTCTGCTTCTCGCCCTTGCTGCACCCTCCCACTCCTCTTTTTCCCTCCCTCTTCTCCCTTGCCTCAATCTCCCGCATCTCAGCTTATCGCCGCCACACCTGCTGCACGCACCACATGTCAAACTGCACTTGTATGTTGCCCTCTCTTCCCCTCACCTCCCACCCTTCCCCTGACCATGCCACTCGCATTGTACCTAGCGCAGCCCCCTCTTCCATCTCCATTCCCCCTACCCTAGCCCCTCCTTCAATTCCCTCTTGTCCCTCGCCCCCTTCCAACTTCCCTGCGTGCCCGCCGCAACATCTCCCCTTCCCTGCCCCCTCTGCCACTGCACAATTTTCCTACTGCTCGGCCAACTGGGTGCCAGGCAATAGCTGTCAGCCCACCACTTTGGGCAGGTCAGCTTGGGTCATCTCCAAAAAACTTTTCCCAACCCACTCATCCTGGGTTGCCTCCTGCAAGCCACCATCAACCGCACATAGGGCAGCACCATTCCTTTCCTCACCATTCTTTTCTGCACCTTTCCATTCCCTTGCACTCCTTTGCAATTGCATTTCTCCTACTTCCCCATCTTCCTGCTCCACTTCCCTTAACTCATTACTATCCTCATCCTCCTCTCTCTCATCATCCTCCCTCTTATTCTCCTTCGCATTCTCCTCCCTCTCATCCTCCTCTATCTCCACTACTTTCCCCTCCAACTCCTTCCCACCCTCTTCCAACCAACCATCCCCCCCCCCCCCCTCCCTCACACGTCCGCTCTCATCCACTTCGCCCATCTTGCCTCCCCCACTTCCCCTTCCCCTTCGTCCTCCCCCGCCCCGCTTCCCCAGCTAAGCATCTAGCCCCACCTGTCTCCCATCCACACCTTTCCGCGCCCCTTTCCACCCCCTCCGCTGCTCTCCCCCCTCACCCTTCCCCTCCCCACCCTCTGTCTGCCCATCCCTTGCGCTTGAGTAGCAGCTCCCCCATGGAACTCTGCCCCTCTCCCCTCAATGCCCTACTGCTGCCATTCCTTCTGCCTACATTTCCCTCAGTCTCCCTCTCCTAATCCTCCTCTTGTTTCTCTTCCTCTTCCGCTTCCTCTTCCTCTTCCGCATCTGCTTCCTCTTCCTCTTCCTCTTCCACTTCCGCATTTCGCTGCGCTCTCTGCCGGTCTCTCTCCCGCTCAGCAGCTGCCTTGTGTCACGTCTCATACCCCTGCAATGTACATGTCTGCTCCCTACCACTCACTGCCCCCCGAGACAACAAAATCCAGTCTGCCCTGGCGCCAACAGTCGTCACATCCCCGCCTCTGTCCTCACTCCTACCCACACGCACACCCTTACTCACACCCAAACCCAAACCCAAGCACATGCCCTTGCCCTTGGCCTTGTCTTTGCCCTGGGGGCTCATGATCAGCAGTCGCCGCATGGCAGCTGCCTTGCTCTCATTCCACTGCAGTGTGCCCGCACCCCCACCTGCTGCTCTTTCTGCTGCTCTTTTTCCCCTTGCCGCCCCTACCACTGCCTCCTCTTGTGCTGCTTCCCCCACTGCTGCCCCTAAAGCTGCTTTTCCTCCTTCCTCCTGGCGCTCAAACTGATGTAGAGTCTTCTTTCTGTCCCCCTCCCCTTCCTCTTCCTCTCCACTTTCCGCCACCTCCTCCATCTGCCCATCCCCATCCCCATCACCATTCATATTGAACTGATCTCCCTTGGCCCCCCTCCCATCAGCATCCGCATCTCCTATTTTACCACCCCCTCGTGCACCAGCAGCAGCACCACCACCACTATCACTACTCACCCTCACTCGCTTCCTCCTTCCCTCCCCCTCTTCCTCTCCATCCTCACCACCCTCCCCCCCATCCTCCCCATCCCCTACCCCTCTTCCCACACCCCTTCTCCCTATTCTCTTCTCCCCAACCTCCCTCCTCGCCCGTTCCTCAATCTCCTTCGCTACCGAACTGGCTGGCGCGGCTCGGTAGACATACCTATCCAACGAAGAAAACTCCGACAACGTCGCTCTTAGCCCCGACAGCAGCGCCACCTCGTAGTGCAAAAATACCTTGCGCTTATCCGGGGTCACGTTCACGTCGTACGCGTCTGCACTAAGCGAAACGTTTAGGAAAGGAGCGGGGAATTGCAGGGAGTTGAAGGAGTGGTAGAGCTCATTGAGCAGCTTAGAGAGGCACGACAGATCCACCGGGCGCCCGTTGAGCAAAAAAAACTGCCGATCGCCCGACGACCTGCCACTGTCTGCTTTTGGCCTTCACATGAACCCGGCTACTTTGCAGCAGGAGGTTGGCGGCACAAGGGCAGTGGCAGCAGCAGTGACAGTAGCAGCAGGAGGAGAAGGAGAAGCAGGAGCAAGAGGGGCAGTGGCAGCGGCAGCAAGGGAGAGAGGGAAGGTGATGTCGACAAGATCCAGGCCCGCAGCAGCGTTGGCGCCAAAGACACCGATGGTGTTCTCCCGCATCGACCCTGTGCGACCTGTGTGCACCATAGTGGTGTGCGCGCTGCTCTGCCCACTCTAATTGGTGCAGAGGATGCGTGCATGCTTGGACACCACGCAGTACATCTGCAAGACGCTCACCAGCTTTGCAAACTCCCCCCGCACGTTCCGCTCAAACTCCCGCCGTCGCACGGGTAGCGTCGAGAAAATCTTTGCCACGCTCACCGTCGTTCTAACTGCCCGAGCGACACGTCCCCGAGGGGTGTCTAGGAGCTTTCCAACATGGTCAAATGCTAGGAGCGTTGCTATGGGCTCGTTGGCGATGCGGGTGGTGATGGTGACATGGGCGAGGGCGCAGAGGGAGGAGAGGGCCTCCCCTCGAAAGCCGAAGGAGGAGAGCGACTAGAGGTCGGAGAAGTGGGTGATCTTGGACATGTGATACTTGAGGGTCAGTGCCTGCAGCAGTGCAGAGAGGGAGAGCGGGTGGAGGTGAGAGAGGTGAGCTTTGAGTGCATTTAAACAATCACCGTGATCGGAGATTAAAGAAGTGAGCGATTTGGGACGTGTCGCACTAGAGGGTCAGTGCCTTCAGTATTGCAGAGATGGAGGACGTGTGGTACTCGAGAGTCAATGCCTGCAACGGTGTAGAGGGAGTAGGGAATCGGTGATTGGCCGGGGAACTGGGAATAAGAGGTGGGCAAGAGGGAGGGAAAGAGGAGAGGAGGGAGGTTATAGAGGAGAAAAAGGGGAGAGGAGGACGGGGATAGAGGAAGAAGGGGAGCGCGATCGGGAAAGGAAATACAGGAGGTTAGAAGGTGGGTGGTGTTATGCTTGTACGTCAGAGCCAGCAACCTGTAAGACCAACATATTCAACGATTTACTCCAACAATCTCTGTGCCAAGTCCTATTTCCTTCATGCATACCTTACAGATTCTCACCCCCATCGCCCTTACTCTCCAAACCCCCCACCTTCCAGTTGTCACCTGCCACACCACACCCCCCGTAGGCCTACAAACCTATTTGAGCGCTCTGGATTGTGCTATGCTTCGACAGCCGCAGCGCCCACAGTCCTGAGCACTCTCAACGCACCTTGACCACCCGCAACGCTCCTTGCGCAGTCAAGATCTCACCTGTCCGTCAGTTGGAGGGCGAAACCCTACAGCTGTTATTCGCCACTTCCTCATTCGCCGCTCCAGTGTCCAGCCTGTCCATCAACCGCCCTCAACGCCCCTTGACCGCCCAAGAGCCCGCTCACTGCTGCGTACGCAGCACAGGCATCACCTGCCAGTTGGGGGGCAAGACCCTGCAGCCGTTATCCGCCACCTCAATGAGCTCCGCGCCAAAGTCCTTGAGGCGCACCTCCACGCCCGCCGCCCCCGCGTCCAACCTGTGCATCAACTGCACTCAACGCCCCTTGAGTGGCCTTAACGTCACCTGCCAGTTGGAGGGCGAAACCCCACAGCCGTTGTCCGCCACCACAATCAGCTCGGTACCGAGGTCTTTGAAGCGCACCTCCACACTCGTTGCCCCCGCATCCAGATTATTCTCAACAATCTCCTTTACCGCGCCCGCCACGTCCAACACCACCTGCGTGGGGGATGGGTTGCAAGGGAGAGGGGGAGGAGGGGGGAGGGGGGCAGGAGGTGAGGGCTGGGTGGTGAGAAGCTGGCCCCCAGGCTGTTCCCCACCAGCTTCTTCACCGCGCCTGCCATGTCCAACACCACCTGCGTGGGGGGAGGGGGATTGAGGAAGTTGGGAGTCTGGGGATGCAGGGAAACATGTACCCCGCTAGCCACATCCCGGCTTTTCTTCACCGTCACCACTGGGTCCAACACCAACCCTGTGGGAGATTGGAGGTGGAGAGAGGAGTGAGGGGGGGAAAGGACGCGGGGTATTTGGGTGGAAAGAGGCGGGTCTCTCACTGTCCACATCCAGGCTCTCCACCAGCTCTTCTCCGCCACTTTCACGTGCAAAACCACATTGGATGGGGCGTTGGAGGGGCGGGAGGAAGGAGGAGGGGGGTGTTTGGGTGGGGATAAGCAACTGTGCACTAGCCGCGTTTATGTTCTCCACTGGCTCTGTGACACGTATCAGGGCTGCGATTCGCAACGTGGCGTGCGGAGCTCCAAAGCGCGTCTATTCAGGCTTGCGCGGCGGGACCACAGCGAGTGACGAGAGGGGGGGACGAAGGACGGGGTACTATTGCGGGTTGAGAGGAGCTCCGGGGAAGGGAGAAGCGGGGGAGGGGGAGGGGGATGGGGAAAGGGGGCAAGACAGACTGCACGTCGCCAGTGATGTTGGTTGAGGACAGACGCACGTGCGAAATTTATTTGGCCACACGAAGGGCTATTGCAAAATAACGACAAGACAAGTTAACGGCTTGACCTATCGGCTCACCTGTAGTATGGTCAGTCATACACTCAACCATCCAATCCTAATGTAGTATGGTCAGTCACAAATATATTAGATACTGAATGATGGTTGACTATTGTGGGTTGGGGTACATAAACCTAACCCTAACTGCTGTCCCCCATATGACACGCATCATTAAAGGCTATAACATTTGACAAAACAGGTAAAAAATTCGTTGATATTATTTAGTGCAATCACATTATTTAAAAAAATGATTGTTATGTCAATGCTCCTAACCTATCATTCTACTATACCTCATCAACCATCCAATCCTTCACTGTCACCTTTCCAAAATAAGTCCACGAGCGTATCCAGATCTCCACCTAGGTCTTCCTCTTTTGCATCTCCCTTTTGTTGGACTCGCAGTCATTAGTCATGCTGTGATTGGTTGTGAGTCTCTCATTCTCAACCTACAAGCATAAAAGGGAAACAATACATCTGTATATGTTACAGTGAACATAAACGCGAAAAGTTGAGAATTACTTAGAGCAACCATCAAGTAGCAGAGCTAATCGATACTCAAGGCAATAATACCAAAATTCTTGTCATACCATTTACTTGCAACCGCATTAAAAGCCAAGCTACAGAAAGGCTTCTCATCTTGTGCATGCCATGGCAGCCCAAACTCCTCTAAGAAGAAACAAGAGCACAAGGGTTAGACAAATACCAGAAAGGGGAAAACATGAAGCCATAGGGTTTCATGTTTAAGTTACTTGATGCATGGGCAGTCGCATAATTCTCACACAATTCAAAATCATTGCAAACAATGGAACCATCGGGTTTCTTTAGGAGACGGAAGGCGGCTCGCCGACCTTGGTTCCCAGCCTTTTCGCGTCGAGCGTTGCACATCTCGATGTGCTTCGTGTATTCGCCTTCATTCCATAAATCATTGAACTTCCCAACACCACTTCCTTCAATGGTGATGTACGGAATGACGGCTTCTTTGAAGAGCTCTTCCTCAGGCTAAATCACACGTTTGTCCACATCTGGGTCCTTAAGAAGGTCCTTGCAAGCTTTAGGACACGTGGCCTGCAAAACACAAGATACACGAACGGGGTTAAAAGCGTGCTGAACAACAAAAGCATCAAGGTACAGAACAAAAAACAAATCTTTACCAGCAAAGTCTTCTCGGTACACTAGCTCGGCTAGTGTACATGTAAAACTCATATGCTATAGTCTGTGTAGGCTGTAGTGGGGTAGACAATATCGGGTACAACACTTTTAGGTTTTCCTACTTGTACCCACCTGATTCCTAGTGCATTCACTCCTCATTTCTTCACATGGTATAGAGCAGGTTCCCTAGTGGGAACGCTTCCTTGGGCCCACCACTGAAACCTTTTTCTGACCGGAGCGACAGCCACTCTTAGAGGCCCCTCTCACGGCCCCTCACGCCACTCTTAGCGGCCCCGTCGCCGCCCCTAGCGGCCCCGTCGCCGCCCTTCCAGGCCCCTCGCGGCCCCTAGCGGCCCCGTTGCCACCCCTATGCGGCCCCGTAGCCGCCCCTAGCAGCCCTGTCGCCGCCCCTAGCGGCCCCGTTGCCGCCTCCCTCCCTACGCGGCCCTGTTGCCGCCCCTAGGCGGTCCCGTCGCCGCCCCTAGCGGCCTCGACGCCGCCCCTACTCGGCCCTGTCGCCGCCACTAGTGGCCCCGTAGCCGCTCCCCTCCCTACGCGGCCCCGTAGCCGCCCCTACGCGGCCCCGTCGCCGCTCCCCTCCCTACGCGGCCTCGTCGCCGCTCCCCTCCCTACGCAGCCCCGTCGCCGCCCCTAAGCGGCCCCGTCGCCGCCCCTACTGGCCCCGTCGCCGCCCCTACGTGACCCTGTCGCCGCCCCTACGCGGCCCCGTCGCCGCCCCTAGCGGCCCCGTCGCCGCCTCCCTCCCTACGCGGCCCTGTCGCCACCCCTACGCGGCCTCGTAGCCGCCCCTACGCGGCCCCGTCGCCGCCCCTAGCGGCCCCGTCGCCGCCCCTAGCGGCCCCGTCGCCACCCCTAGCGGCCCCGTCGCCGCCCCTAGCGGCCCCGTCGCCGCCTCCCTCCCTACGCGGCCCCGTCGCCGCCACTACGCGGCCTCGTAGCCGCCCCTACGCGGACCCGTCGCCGCCCCTAGCGGCCCCGTCGCCGCTCCCCGCCCCTAGCGGCCCCGTCGCTGCCCCTACCCTGCCCCGTCGCCGCCCCTAGCGAGAAGCCGAGCCGCCAAGCTGCTGAGCCGCCGAGCCGCCTCTGGGGAAACCGCCACTACAGCAGCCGCCCCTGGAGCAGCCGCCACTGCAGCAGCCACCCCCGGAGCAGCCGCCACTACAGCAGCCGCCCGTGGAGAAGTTGCCTCTGGAGCAGCCGCCCCTACAACTGCCGCCCCTGGAGCAGCCACCCCTGCAGCTGCCGCAGAGCTCTCGCTCTACAGTGGTAGCGGCCTCGCCGTTGCCGCCGTCATACGCCTGCCCTTCTCGCCAATGGTAAGCACTGCCCTGCCCGTACTGCTGTTACTGCTGCGCTTACTGCTGCTGCTCTTTCTACTGCTACTGTTGCTCCCGGCGTGGCCAGGTGCAGCTCCAGCATCACCCGCATGAGTCCCTCACCCCCCAACAGCTTCGTGTGTGGTACGCTAGTTGGGGTTGTCGGGGTGGCCGTAGTGGGAGTCGTCCTGGAGTGAGTAGTTCCACACCTGCTTGTAGTGGCTAGGTGCAGCTTCATCGTCGCCCGCGTGAGTCCCTCACCCCCCAACAGCTTCGTGAGTAGTACACTAGTTGGGGTTGTCAGGGTGGCCGTAGTGGGAGTCGTACTGGAGTGAGTAGTTCCGCAGCTGCTTGTAGTGGCCAGGTGCAGCTTCAGTATCGTCCGCGAGCGGTCCTTTTGCCCAGCAGCTTCGTGAGTGGTACGCTCAGCGTGACGGGTCATGGGGTACTGCTCTCTGTCCGTACGTCATTCGCACTAGTGCTCGGACTGGTCAGCCTTGCGGGACGTTTGGTCACGCAAAGTCCTGCTGCTTCGCCCGTCTCAGCGACGCTTGGCGTACGGAGTTTGGCGACGCGGCTAAGCTCCCCGACTGGGTGGAGCTATTTCACCTGCGGGTAGATATCTATACTCTTGACTATGATGCTATCCTCACTGCCATGTATGCATTGCCTACTAGTGATGAGGGTGACTATTACCTGTGTGTTCCGCCTGACCCGGGCATTGAGGCTGCTGCTCTAGGTGCTGGTGAGGTTGCAACTCTAGGTGCTAGTGCGTCTGTTGCCCCAAGTGCTAGTGAGTCTGCTCTCTCAGGTACCACGTCGTCTCAGGCCTTACACACCTTCACTCTTGACTCGGGTGCTTCCCGCTCCTTCTTTCGAGACCGCACCACGCTTACGCCGATCAGTCGGCCGGTTGCGGTCTCCCTGGCGGACCCCTCTGGGGGTCCTGTCCTTGCTCGCTTCTCCACTGTCTTACCCTATCCGGCTGTGAGGATCTGGGATCGAGCTCAGAAAAGATGATTCAAATTGAATTGAATGATCACCTGGGTACAACACGAGGCTATATATAGGCTCGACACAAGGCCCCGTAACCAGGTGTTACGCAAAGGTTCCGCGGGTCGTGAAGCGTCCCGAACAGATCCTTACCGAATTTGGTGGAAGGCAATTCGGTGGCAACCGAAAAGCCAGAATTCTGTGCACGCAACCTAGCTCGGTGCTATAACTATAATAAAATATAGGAAAGCACCTAGCCTAGGAAATCAAGCAATTCATGCATGCATATGATTATCCTATGCTAGAAATAGCATGATAAAGTAGAGGCAAGCAAGCAAAGCTGGCATAAGCCGTCGTACTCTCACACGTCCCCCCCTCAAAGCTGGGTGGCGTGAGATACACCCTGCTTGACAAGATAGTCCTTGAGAGCACGGCGTGCGTTGCCCATATCAGCTTCTGCAACCCAACTGTCCTCAGTGGGGTTGTATCCCTTCCAGCGTATCAGGAACTCGAGGTTCTTGCCACCGCGGCGCCGATGGGTGAGAACGCGCTCGATCTCGTACTCGGGTTCATCCTGTATGAGAACAGGTGGTGGTGGCGGTAGTTGCCGTCCCTGGAACTGTTGGTTGGGGTCCTTGTAGGGCTTCAGTAGCTGGACATGGAAAGCGTTGTGAAGCTTCCATGTATCTGGTAAGCGCAAGCGGAATGTAACTGGTGTCACCTGTGCCTCAACGAGAAAAGGACCACAGAAGCGAGGCCGGAGTTTGGATGGGAGGTGAGACAGGTTCAAGTTGCGCGTGTCAAGAAGCACCTGATCTCCGACTGCTACTGAGTGATCACGTCGCTGACGATCGGCATACTGCTTCTGGGAGGTCTGCATCGTGGTGAGACGTCGCTGAGTCTTCTCCCATAGCTGCTGCATGGTGGTGACGAAGTCATGTGCGGCTTGGACGTGTGCCGGTGTAGTTGGCTGCTGTGGTGTGAGTGGTTCCCGTCCGTAACACAGGAAGAAATGATTTTTTCCTGTGGCCGCATGTGATGCGTTGTTGTAAGCGGACTCTAGGGTCGGTAACAGTGTGTCCCAGTGGCTGACGTCGTCCTTGCAAGCTGTGCGCAGTAACTGTTCAACCACTTGATTGAGTCGCTCTGTCTGTCCGTCAGTCTGGGGGTGGTATGCTGAAGACATTGCAAGTTTTGTCCCCAACAGTCCCTTGAGCTCCTTCCAGAACTTACTCGTGAATTTGGGGTCTCTGTCTGAGATGAGTGTAGCGGGGATGCCGTGGATGGTGATGATGCGGTCGAAGAAGAGTCGAGCAGTTGCTTCAGCTGTAGCTGTGGCGTTGGTCGGTATGAAGTGACCCATTTTGGAGAACTTATCGATCACCACGAGGATGGAATCATGTCCCCGTGAGGTCGAAGGAAGTCCTGTGATGAAGTCGAGGCTAACCACCTGCCATGGCTGCTTCGGTACGGGTAGAGGCTGAAGTAACCCTGCATTTTTCTGCTTGCTACTCTTCATCAGCTGTCACGTGTCGCAAGAGGTGACGAACTGCTGCACGTCTGTTGCCATCCC